GTGGGCCACCAAGCTGCAGTGGGCACAGGGGCAGGTCTCAGCCCCTCCCACCGAGGCCCCCAGTCCCCTGTCTGCCAGCAGCCCCACTCCTGCCGCCACTGCTGCCCTGATCACCCTTCAGGAGCTGGGGGAGGTGGAGAAGCATGCTCCCTACTGGCAATCAAGCCTGAAAGCTGAGCATGTGCCCTTGACCAGAATTGAACCTGGGACCCTTTAGTCCGCAGGCCAATGCTCTATCCACTGAGCCAAACCAGCTAGGGTTTCTTTGCCCATTTTTTAAAAATTGATTTCAGAGAGGAAGAGAGATAGAAACATCAATGATGAGAGAGAATCATTGACCCACTGCCTCCTGCAGGCCCCCCACTGGGGATCAAGCCTGCAACCTGGTCATCCGCGCTGACCAGGAATCAGATGGTGACCTCCTAGTTTATAGGTCGATGCTCAACCACAGAACCACACTGGCCAGACTGTAGGTTTTTATAAAAGAAATATTATATTAACTATTTTCCAAGCACTTGTAAGCTAAGAAATATTACTGTTTGTTTATTTCCTGAGAGGATATATCAAATATCTCATTATAATGATGTATTTTTGAAACTGGACAACCAATGGGTCTGGGTTGCCTGTCACTACTTGAGCCAATTAAGCAGAGGCAGGGTTGAATCATATATGAGCATTTATTTTAATAATGCTGGCAGTATGGTCATCCACAAAAATCTGTTCTGCACTCCCCCCTATCTCCCCCCCGCCCCGTCAGCTGTGTATACTAGTATGGGATATAAGGACAAATATTACATGGGGAAGTGAGCAAAAGGAATAAAAAATGGGTATGCAAAAATAAAAATGGGTATTACAGGAATGGGGAAGTGGGCAAAAGAAATAGGAATGGGTATAATTGTTACAGTTACAGTTGTTAACGTAAAAAAACATTGAAACCTGTAAAGAATTTTTGTGAGTTTATTTGAGCCAAACTGTCAACATATGCCGGGAAGCAGAACCTCGATGGACTGAGATAATGCTCCGGAGAATGGCGGGTTACATCTGTATTTATACACTGCAATCAAAGGAGGGATGTAGGTGGGTTACATGAAATCCATTGGTGATAGACTAGAGAGGTGGGAGAAAGCAAAGGAGGGGGAGGGAGAGAAACCCTGGGATTGGATGAAAAGTAAAATGATGGACACATACTAGGGTGGCTGCAGGAACAATTAACATGATAATGAAGGAATTTGTGGTAACTGTCCTGGCACCCAACAAATTAGGTTGTTCCCCAAGGGGTCCAGAAAAGGGGAAGTTACAAATTATCCAGACATTTCAAAGGGTATATTATCATAGATGCAAAAAGGCACATAGGCTCAGTGAAGGTAAAGGTTGATCTTGTCAGTGAAGATACCTGCCTAGAACATAACTACCCACCATAACTGCTTTTAGTTGAAGTTTAATTTCAGACCATCCTTTGTGGTACCTTTGGGTCTCTGAGTTTGCAAGACTGCCATGCAGGCCTCCCCTGAGCTTCTCAGGTTAGCATGTGGCCCCTTTCGTCCACACAGGCAATGTGGCCTGGGGGTTTGCAAAGGGCAGGGGGCATCTGGGACTATATTACTTCCTTTCTGCAACATGGTTGTTAGTCTTTTCATGATAACGGGCAGCTCAGAGATGGGGAGGATGGGCTGAATTTCCAGGTGAGCTCCCAGGTCTCACGTGCAACTCCCAGCCAGATTAGAAAGTGCTTTTAAAATATATGTGTGTGTGTGTATGTGTGTGTGTGTGTATAATTGATTTCAGAGAGGAAGGAAGAGGAATAGAGAGATAGAAACATCAATGATGAGAGAGAGTCATTGATCGTCTGCCTTCTGCACGCCCCGCACTGGGGACCAAGCCCGAAACCCGGGCATGTGCCCTTGACTGGAATCGAACCTGGGACCCTTCAGTCCGCAGACTGATGCTCTATCCACTGAACCAAACCAGTTAGGGCTAGAAGGTGCTTTTTAAAAATCAAAACAAAACAATTACAGTTAACAGAGCATGATTAATTTTTCTTATTTTATTTTTTATAACTAAGACCTGCCTATTGATCAGTGATGCTTTCAGAGAAAGAGCTCCCCCACCCTCCCAGGAAAAGATTTTGATCAGAAGGGAGAAATGATAAAGATTATGATGAGACTTTAAACTTTTGAACTTTAAAGTTTAAGAGAACATGATCAGTCTGGAGGGTCTGTGGAAGGAGTTAGGGTTTATGGGAGGAGTTATTGCACTCTCATCCTGAGAACCCTACAGGAAGAACTCTATGCTTACAACAAAGTTCTATGTTTGTAACTACCCCTTTCCAATAGAAAGGAAAAGGGAAGTTAAGGGATGCTGGGCAGTATGTGCACATGGCTTGCCATGCCTGCATACACTGGATTGCATTTCTTTCTTTTTCCCAAATAAATCCTTTTTGGTGACAAAATGAGATAGGCAAGCACTCCACAGGTCCAGCTGTCAGGAGCCAAAAACTCATTAATCGATCCTTATATCCTTATATCATCCTTTCTTTTTACAGTCAATTAGCTGCTAGACTGAAGGACCCTGCCGTCTGCAAGTTTTACTTTGATGGGCTTACATTTTGTGCCTTCCAGTCATACATGTGCACTAGCAAAAAAGGCTGTCTTCGCCCCTTCCCTCCCTCATGACCCTCCCTTATTTAAATGCTAAAAGCCACACCCCTGGGTGGAGATTTAGCATGCTGATTAGACATGCCCTCCTGGAAGAAGCTTGTAGTTCCAGTGCAGGCCCCAAAATTCTCCACCACTCTATACTGAAATGTCACACTTAGATGTCATCTTTTCCGCCTCAAATTCCTTAAAACTGTTCCCTGGCTTTTGTTCAGAGAGCAACATTTCTCCTTTTCCCTTTAAATGTTGTCTCCCTTGGTGTACAAGCTATTTAATAAACCTCCACCTGAGCCTTAATTCTTATGGTGCACTTTGTTCATTTCTATCTTGGGATTTCCTAAAAAGCTAGGATGGGCCCTAATTCATTTGGCTCAGTGGATAGAGTTTCGGCCTGCGGACCAAAGGGCTCAATTCTGGTCAAGGGCACGTACCTCAGTTGTAGGCTCCTCCCCAGCCCAGGTCCTGGTCAGGGCACTTGCAGAAGGCAACCAATTCTGAAAATCAATGGGAAAATATCCTCACTCTAGCCCAGTGATTCTCAACCTTCTGGCCCTTTAAATACAGTTCCTCACGTTGTGACCCCAACCATAAAATTATTTTCGTTGCTACTTCAATAACTGTAATTTTGCTACTGTTATGAATCGTAATGTAAATATCTGATATGCAGGATGGTCTTAGGCGACCCCTGTGAAAGGGTCGTTCGACCCCCAAAGGGGTCGCGACCCACAGGTTGAGAACCGCTGCTCTAGTCGGTTTGACTCAGTGGATAGAGCGCTGGCCTGCAGACTGAAGGATCCCAGGTTTGATTCGGTCAAGGGCACATGCCCGTGTTTCAGGCTCGATCCCCAATAGGGGGCGTGCAGAAGGCAGCTGATCAATAACTCTTATTGATGTTTTTCCATCTCTTTCCCCCTCTCTCTTCCTCTCTGAGATCAATAAAAAATGTATTGAAAGAAAGAAAGAAAGAAAGAAAGAAAGAAAGAAAGAAAGAAAGAAAGAAAGAAAGGAAGAAAGAAAGAAAGAAAGAGGCTCTTGGGTGAGGATAAAAAATTTAAAAGAAGCCAGGATGGTTTAGTGGTAGAATTCTCACCTGACATACAAGAGCCCCTGTTTTAATTTCCAGCCAAAATTCTATATTGATTTTGGTGATCTCTTTTGACTTCTATCCTGGGAGATCACAAGAACCCAGGGTGCCGATAACAGAAACACCTGGTCAATACTGATTTCCAGTGGACGTAAGGGAATATTCTTCAACCATAAAAACAAATGAAGTATTGATACATGCCACAACAGGAATGTGCCCTGAGAAGAATGATGCTCAGTGAGTGAAGTCAGTCATGAAGACCATATATTATATAATACCATGCATATGAAAGACCCCAGTAGTAACTCTAAGGTAGATTAGTGATTGCCCAGGGGTGGGGATTGGAGAAGGAAGATGGGAAGACTGAGAGTGATAGATAAATTGTACAATGCAGTATATGTATATCAAATCATCTTATTGTAATCTTTGTAAACCGAGAAAGAAGTTTTCAAGTGCATCCCAAAGTTACATGACAATTTCTAAAAGTGTTGCTTATATCAGTAATTAAACCTTCGGGATATTAAACCCGTTGACGTGTTGGAGTTTTCTAGGGTCGCATGGAGAAACTGACTAAATTTCCTTTAGTGCCAAAGGAAATCATTCCTCTCCCTTCCTCTCTGAAATCAATACACCTGAAAATGTAATGAACACACCTCACACCACCGTTAGACTGAGAAAGTCCTTGTGTCCAGCGGGGTTCCATTTCCCACCAGCGCCAAGTGCTCTGGCTTCTTTCCCTTAAGGACCAAATGAGAGGCGGTGAGAAAGGCATAGGTGGAAGGTTCAAGGCTTGCAAGAACCAAAGACCCAAATGGAGCCAGACTCTATTACAGAAGGTCGGATTGTCTGTGTTTCTAAACCAGGGTCACAGTTCTACGAGTGAAGTCGCAGCCTTACGCCAAATCCTTGACTCCCTGCAAGACATCAAACCATCTTGCGCCAGGGCGGTCTGGCCGAACCTACTCTCTTGTCTGTACTTGCTCCATCTTGAAACTGAATCACGAATTCTCGGCGCACACCTCCGACCACGCCTTCCCACTGGGACGCTGTGGAAAAGACAAAGGAGTCAGCCCCCGGCCAGGAAAAAAGTTCTGTTTGAAGCCAATGTTAGTGGGGTAGGATGGGGGTGGGGGCGGGGTGGGGGCGGGCGTAGACTCCCGGCCCCAGACAGAAGCTAGGTCTGCGGAACCCCAGGTCCTCCCGGCGGTTGTCACTCAGGCACGCGGGGGCGCGGCCTTCTACACCGACCAATCGGAGGCCTCCCTGGAACGGATGGGTGGGGCGACGGCCGGCCCCGGCGTGGAGGTCGTTTCTCCCCTGGCAACGCTCTAGGTCGCTCCTCGGCTGCCTCACGCCGTCCCCGGTGGCTTGGGCACGGCCGGTGTCGCGCTGTGGTCTGTGCCGGTGGTGAGAGTCGTAGGCCGGACTCGGGGAGACCCAGGAAGCCTAGCCATGGTGAGTGTGCGGGCCGGGTACGGAGGAGGAGATATGGTGCGGGTCGGTACCGCCGGAACCGCCGGAACCTGCCTGGCCGGCCGGCCCCCCCAGGATCAGGTCCGAGTCCGCCTACCCGGGTGCCCCGGCCCACCGCTCGGACCCGTCTTCTCTGGCTCGCAGCGTGGGGGCTGGACCGGCCGCCGGGACCCCGGGCGTCCCGTCAGGTCTCCGCGGGACCAGTTGGGCCGGGCCTGGAACCTCCGTTGGCAGCTCTGCGCTCGCTGCCCGGCGTCTCCCCAGACGGCGCCGCAGCTGGGAGGGTCGCGGGGAGGCCGTCCGACTCCGCTCCCGAGTTTGTCTGTGGGAGGAGCTGTGGAGTGTGGCACCGGAGTCCCTCATTTCTCCCCATCGGTACTTGTTTTTTCCCTGAGTTTTGCAGATGTTGGGGGAGCAGGGTGTCAGATCCACGTCCCGGGCCCCCAGCCAAGCTCTTCCTGGGGCTGGCAAAAAAATAAATAAAAATTTAAAAAATCCCCCAATTTCCAGGTCCCTCCCCTCGTTCCCAAATGCGCTTCCCCTCTCGGATTCACTGCGTCATCATCCACTGTTTGTCATCGGTGGTGCAGCGGAGACAGCCCCAGTATTTCTCTTTTTTACCCGTTTTTCACATAGTCATGAAGATGTGTTGTTGTTTGGTCTGAATATTTTACGTGAGAGGAGGTCCGAGAATACCCACCCGGAATACGTTGTATGAAATGCCCGTTGCTCCGCCAGGAGCTTGGCCGGGCACAGGCACCTCCTGGGAATCCTTCGGATGGCGGTTCTGTTGTTGTTGTGGATCCTCTGGTGAGGCTATTTTCTCCATTGATTTTTAGAGAGAGCGGAAGGGAGGGGGAGAGACGGAGCGAAACAGGCACCTGAGAGAGACACGTCCAGTCCATCGGCCGCCTCCCGCACCTGCCCCACCCGGGGCCGGGGATCGTGCTGGCGACCCTGCAGCCCGAGGGCGGACGCTCTGTCCACTGAGGCAAACCGCTTAGAGCTGGAGGTTCTTCTTTGTTTTTTTAATATATTTTTATTGATTGAGAGAGGGAGAGAGAAATATCAATGATGAGAATCATTGATTGGCTGCCTCCCGCACGCCCCCTACTGGGGAGCGAGCCCGCAACCCAGGCATGTGCCCTTGACCGGAATCGAACCTGGGACCATTCAATCCGCAGGCTAGCTAATGCTCTATCCACTGGGCCAAACCGGCCAGGGCTGGAGGTTCTTTTTTTTTTTTTTAATCTTTTCTGGATGACCTGCTTTTCCCCAGGTTTGTCACCCTGATGAGGTTTATTGATTTATTTGCTTTCGTTTTTCAGTGGGGATAGAATGTATTTAGTCAATAGAGCAAGAAAGGCTGTAAAATAGTTCTAAAGTGGCAAGAGAGTGGTGACTTTCAGAAAAAAAAAATCCAGTATTCCCAATTTGTAAAAAATTCTGATTTCACTATTTTCTTCCCTTCAGCATGTGTAGTAAGTCCCGAGGTCTCCTCTTTACTTTTGTATGTTTTCAAATGAAATTCCAGAGCTTAGACTTGGAGAGCAGATGTGTTCAAGTGTGATTTATTATTACAAAACAATGTGTTGCCATGGAAATCATAATCAACTGACAGCTTTATTTTCTGAAGGGAACAGATACTTGGGCTTCTCTGGTTTAACTGATAAAAGTGAGTTACAGTTTTCTTTCCCCTTTCCACATTATCACTGGATTTGAGTGATTTTGCTGTATTGTTCAGAAATTGGTTTATGTAATTTAAATATCAGTGGTGGTACCAGGCGTCTCCGGTGGGGAGCAGAGACCTGTAGTCAGTAACACAATCTAAGGCCTCGTTGAGCCTGCACAAGGACTTACTAGTAATTGAAGGCCCAGTTGTTCTTCCTGGGGAGCCTCCCCTGCAAGTGTCCTTCCTACCTGCTCACACCCACCACGGACAGAGCGGTTACACTGAGAAGCAGCCCTGGAAAGCTGCGGGTGCAGGTGCACAAGGAGGGGGAGTGGGGATGGGGCTCTTTCTGAGGCTGTGGTTTCTTAAGTCTAGACATTTTTAGATCCTATGTTTTAATTTTGCAGCCACAGTATAAGTGCACTCAAAGTATAATTTTTGCACATAGAGAGTCTGTGAAGATCAGGTGGACAAAGGGTTTATGATTTGGGGACCTCATCTGGGTCAAAACATTGAACAATATCAGGCTGAGAGTTGCCTGATGTGAATGGAAGCCTGGGGGAGGGGAGCTCTTCTATGCTTATTTTAGTTTGGTGGTATTCTATCATTTTTTCCCCCTCTGTCTTCTCTTTTAGTTGTTGTTAATCCTCACCTGAGAATATTTTTTCCCATTTTTTTTTTCTTCTTAGAGAGAGAGTGAAAAGGGGAGGGGGAGAGGGAGAGAGAGAAACATTGACGTGAGAGAGATGCATTGATTGGTTGCCTCTCACTCCTGCCCCTACTGGGGCCAGGGATCAAACCTGCAACCCAGGTGTGGGCCCTTTACTGGGAATAGAGCCCGAGACCCTTTGGTGCTTGGGCCTGCACTCTAACCCAGTGGTTCTCAACCTTGACTACAATTTGAATCACCTGGGAATCTTTTTAAAATCCTGATTTCTGGGCCTCATCCTCCGGAAATTCTGTTTCTTTGTTACTTAATGTTGTGGCCCCACCCCATAACATAGGCTTTTTTAAAAAATATTTTTAAAAATACATTTTTATTGATTTGAGAGAAGAAGGGAGAGGGAGAAAGAGATAGAAACATCAATGATTAGAATCATTGATCAGCTTCCTGCATGCCCCGCAATGGAGATGGAGCCCGCAATCCGGGCATGGCCTTGACCAAGAATCAAACTGTGACCTCCTGGTTCATAGGTCGATGTTCAACCACTGAGCCACACTGGCCAGGCTTTAATAATTTTTATTTTTATTTTTTAGTGTTAAAAGTATTACGTATGTCCCCATTTTCCCCCCCATTAACCCCTCCAGCCTGCCTCCTCCCCCATCCCCAACCTAGGCCCTTATCATTGTCTGTGTCCATGGGCTATGCATATATGCATACAACGTCCTTGGTTGGTTACCTCCCACCCACCCACCCTCCCCCACTTTCCCTCCAAGATTCATAGGCTTGATGCAAGAAGCTCTACACACTATATACCATTAGAGCTGTAGCTATGATTACCTACGGATCTCTCTTGAAAATAGAGGCTCTTGTGAGTACTGAGCATGTGATTATCTGCCCAGCTGCCCATTATGCTTTTGTTCCTGGAAGCAGAACCCCATCAGATCAACACACTTACCAACACCTTCATGTGACGAGATGGAGCCAAACCTTGACCCTTTGGGCTTAAGCCACCTGTAGGAAGTTAATCTCTTCTTTCTTCAGTCCATTGAAAGTTGCTATGGTGTTGGATGAGGTCACCATTCCCCCCAACATTTCCCTCACGAATTCCTTGGGGTTAACTGAGTGTACAGCCCTGGCGAGTGCACAGACTTTAAGGACAAAGTTGCACATTTCTACATGATAGTGCTCAGTGGAGAGTTGCTGCTCTTCATCAGTTACAGAAGAACGGAGAAGAACCAAGCAACACTTAGAGAGATGGAGTTACATTTATTATTACACGTGGGCCCAGAGAAAAAATGTCTCTAGAATTCTGGGCGAAGTCACACAGGAAGTTTCCTGTATTTATACCTTTTTACCCTCTTGGTCTCCCAAATATGGGGTTTTCCGGTCCACTTTGCAAGTTCTTAAAGAGCCCCTATGTGCTGGGGCTTTGAGACGGCAACCAAAGGCTTGGCCTGGTGCCAGCACTGATAACTTCGTCTGGGGAAGGTTTAATGGCCTCTCTGAAATGGGAGTAGTCTTATTTTCCTTTTTATTTAAGCAAGCATTTATAGAAGCCAAAACGCAGGGTTAAAATTTCAAACAGCAGTTTTTATATAAGATGGATGCTTTACATCCATTAATTTGGACATTCCTGATAAAGGACCAATCCCAATGTCACCAAACATCAGGCAGTCATCTTACTAGTGGCCAAAAATTGCCCCATCTACATGTATTCATAGTTAATTTGATGATTGACTTTTAGAGGGGCCCCTTTGTGATAAAAGAACTGCAGCAATCTTTTGACTCACAGATGCCCAAATTATAAATCAGGGTAACACTTATCTCTACATGTACTAGGTCCACAATACAAGGACTCAAAAGGACACTCCTCATTCACATTGGAGTTCCAGAATATACAGTGCCCCGCGCTTTAACAGGGCTGTCAATGGAATTTTCACCCCCCTTACTGGTCTAGATTCATATAGTACCATACTGGCTTATTGAAATAAGTTCAAATGAGTTGAATGGAAAATGCCCTATTTCAGTGATAGTATCAAGGTGAATTGTAATAATTCTATCTTCATTTTTTTTCTACCACAGGTTTTTGTGGGGTTGTTGTTTTTTTTTAGAGCAACTTGAGTATCCACACAGTTTGCACGCTTTTTAAAAAAAATCTTTACCTGAGGATATTTTTTCCCTTGATTTTTAGAGTGACGGGGCGGGGGAGAAGAGAGAAACATCAATGTGAGAGAGACACATTGACTGGTTGCTACAGACTGGGGCCAGGGATCGAACCTGCAACCAAGATGCATGCCCTTGCCTGGGAATCAAATCCAAGACCCTTTGGTCTGCGGCCGATGCTCTAATCACTGAGCAAAACTGGCCAGGCAATTTTTTTTATTCTTGTATGACTGTGGTACATTTGTAACAATTGCTCAACCAGTATTGATAAAGTGCACTATTTATAATGGCATTGATTTGTTTTATCAATATGTGGGTTTTGGCAGATGGTTTTTTGTTTGTTTGTATTTGTTTTTATACCCGAGAGTGCTGGGGGCAGGGGGGAGGGGAGGGCAGGCAGCCCCTTCGCTCCCCGGCCCTCTCCCCCTGTGTCCCCTCCATGCCACTTGGCAGATGTTTAATGACATGTATCCTGTATTTCTGTATCATATCCTTTCACTTCCCAAAAAATGTCTTAAGCCCTATCTATTGTTTCATCCCTCCCCCTGACCTCAAGTCCTTTACAACCAGAGATCTTTATATTCCCTCGTAGTTTTCTTTCCCAGAATGCCCTATATTTAGAATCAAAAAGTGCGTAGCCTTGTCAGATTGCTTTCTTTCTCTTAGCAATAATAGATATCCACATACAGTACTAATAACTGTACTTTTAAGTTCCTTCATGTGTTTTCATGGCTTAATACCTCATTTCTTATCACTGAACAGTATTTCATTGCATGGATTTACTACTGGATGTTTGCGTTTTGAAGGGTATCTCACAACTCTAATCCTTGCTAATACTAATATATAAAAACCCTGGGTCTTAATGACCTGTCACAACAAAGGTTCAACTGGAAGTCAGTCCTATAGTCAGCGCTGACTGCTTCCACTGCAGGCATGGTGCCCAGCACTGGCTGCTGAGGGGGCTGTGAATCAGGGCCAGAGAGAGGCCTGAAAAGAGAAGCAGGGACTGATCCTTTGCCTCTGTGGCAGCTTTTGATCAGCACTTACGCCTGCCTCTCTCTCTCTCTCCTTCCTCTCTCTCTCTCTCTCTCTCTCTCAGTCTGGCCAGCAGCCACACCTCCATTTCTCTCCAGGCCTCCACAGGAGCTGCTGATCAGCTCTGCCTTTTTGGTCAGGCCCCATTGATAGGCTCAGAAACGCTGACTGGCATAGGAACCAACCAATCAGAACGGAATCTGGGTGCTATGAGGAGCGAATGGCAGCCTAGGAGATGGAGCTTTTAACATTGATTGACATAGGAACCTACCAATCGGAACCAGATGTGGGTGCTGTGAAGAACCAATGGCTGCCTAGGAGGCAGAGCTTATGACATTGATTGGCATAGGAACCGACCAATTAGAACCAAATATGGGTGCTGTGAAGAAACAATAGCTGTCTAGGAGGCAGAGCTGTTGACGTTGACTGGCATAGGAACCAACCAATCAGAACCAAATCTGGGTGCTGTGAGGAGACAATGGCTGCCTAGGAGGCAGAGCTTTTGATGCTGACTGACATAGAAACTGACCAATCAGAACCAAATTGGCCAGCAGAGGAGGGCAGTTGGGAGCGAGATCAGGCTGGCAAGGGAGGGCAGTTGGGGACAACCAGGCCAGCAGGGGAGGGCAGTTGGGTGCAACTGCACCTGCAGGGGAGGACAGTTGGGGGTGAAATCAGGCTGGCAGAGAGGGCAGTTAGGGGTGATCAGGCTGGCAGGCAGAGGCAATTAGGGGTGATCAGGCAGGCAGGCAGAGGCAGTTAGGGGCGATCAGGCAGGCAGGCAGGTGAGCAGTTAGGAGCCAGCGGTCCCAGATTGCCGGCAGTCGGACATCCCCCAAGGGGTCCCCAATTGCAGAGGGTGCAAGCTGAGCTGAGGGAACCCCCCCTCCATGCACGAATTTTGTGCACTGGGTCACTAGTTATGAATAAAAGGCCTACAAACATTGACGTGTAGGTTTTTGTGTAAACATAAGGTTTCAGTGCATTAGGTCAATACCAAGGTATGTGATTGCTGGATTTTACTATATGTAGTAATTAAAGCTGGGGACAGTAAAACAAGGAAGGGCTTCACATAGAAGAATCAATAGAGAGCCTAGGCAAGGCTGCTTTGACTCGTTGAGAAGTCAAAGAAAGGAGACTTTGGAGACAGGGTCAGGGGGTTAGCCCAGGATGAGCTGCTACTGCCCATTGTTCCCCTGGTTGTAAATCTGGTGGGGTCACTTAGAGTTTAGGAGATGCATGCCTGTGGGGAAGAGAGGGAAGGGCAAAGGGCAGGCATGCTCCCAGGAGGGAGAGCTCCATATTTAGTTTTGACAGAAAGTTCCTTTCTCCCACAACCTAGGTATGTGCCCTGACTGGGAATCAAACCCGGAACCTTTTAGTTTTCAGGAATATGCTCCAAACCAATTGACCCATCCGCTAGAGCAGGAGTTTTTTTTGTTTGTTTGTTTTTGTTTGTTTGTTTGTTTTTAGGAGTTTTTGATTTTAATAAAGTGAAACTTTTTTTTTGGTGTCTTATCTAAAAATGTATCACAAACACAAAGTCACCTAGATTTTCTTATATTTTAAATTCTAGGAATTGTTTTTACTTTTGCATTTTACATTTAGATGTATGATCTATTTTGAGTTAATTTTTGTGCAAAGTTTAAATTCTGTACGTACATTCATTTTTCATGTATGTGTGTGTTGTATGTGGATATCAATTATGGTTTATTTAAAAGACTTTCTTTTTTCTTATAATTACCTTTACTCATTTATCAAAGATCAGTTTACTATGTGTCTATAGGGAACCAGTTGACTTGTATATTCCTCAGTCTGGCTATTCCAGGCATTATCTCTGTTATTGTGTTTTTTCCCCAGATGTTTTACATAGACAGTCATGTCAAATGGAATAAAGACATTTTTGATTCTTGCTCCCCAATCTGTGTACCTTCTATATTCTTTGCTTTTAAAAAAATATTTTTATTGATTCTAGAAGGAGTAAGAGATAGAAACATCAATGATTAGAGAGAATCTTCGATTGGCTGCCTCCTGCACACCCCCTACTAGGGATTGAGCCCGCAACAGGAGCATGTGCCCTGACCAGAAATTGAACCATGACCTCCTGGTTCATAGGTCGATGCTCAATCACTGAGCCACTCTGGCCAGGTATATTCTTTTCTTTTAACATGGCTAGGGCTTCCAGTACCATATTGAATGGGATGGTGAGAGGATACCTTTCTCTTCTCATCTTACCAGAAAAGCATCTAGTTTTAATTATCTATAATAATAAAAGGGTAATATGCTAATTAGACTGGACGTTTTCCAGACGTCCTTCCTGATGAAGCCGGGGCCTGAGGGAAGCCAGGCCAGATTCCAGATGCCTGCCGGAGGCTGGAGGAAGGAAGCCCAGGTCCTGGGTGCCGGAGGGAAGCCGGTGCCAGCAGCTGGGTGAAGGAAGGCCTACTCTTGCACAATTTTCATGCATCGGGCCTCTAGTATTAAATATGTTAACAATAGGTATCGTGATGTTTTCTCAAGAGAGAATTTCCTCTATTACTAGATTATTATCATAAACAGATGTTGGATGGAATAAAATACCTTTTCTTGTTCGTTTGCCCTTCCTTTCACTTCTAATAGTAATTTCTATATTCCCTCTTTTCAATTATCTTGACTAGATGTTTATAAATTTTTTTCAGTGGACCAACTTTTGGTGTTTTTTTCTTTCATACTTGAAACATTTTACTCCACTTTCTTCTTGTTTGCATGGTTTCTGAGAAGAGGTCTGATTTAATTCTAATCTTTTTTTTTTCTCTATACTAAAGGATGTTTCCCCTTCTGACAAGAAGAAAGATGTATTTTTTCAATGTATTTTCATCTTTGATTTTTCTCTAGTTTGGACATGATATTCTTGGTTTGCATTTCTGGTATTTTTCATGCATAGCTTTCACTGAGCTTTTAAAAAAATTTTATTATTTCTTGATTTGAGAGTGAGAGAGAAACATCGATTTATTATTTCACTTATTTATGCATTCATTGGTTGATTCTTGTATGTCCCCTCACTGAAGATTGAACCTGCAACCTTGGCGTATCAGGACTACACTAACAAACTGAGCTACCCAGCCAGGGTAGTTCACTGGGCTTCTTAATTGTACAATTTGCTGACTATGATTAATTTTAGTAGGAAAATCTCAGTGATTACTACTTAACTATTTTTTCTGTTTGTCTTTTCCTTCAGGTATCCCCATTATGTGCATTTCAGTCTTCTGTAATTGCTCCAACGGTTCATGGATATTGTGTTTTGTGATGTTTGTTCTTTTTGTCTTTGCATTACAGGCCCTGACAGAATATTGGGGCTATATTTTAAAATGCTGTTTTATTTTCTCTTTTGCAATGTTGAAGAGAGTGGCTTGATTTTTACCTCAGTCCTCTGATAGATCTAAGAAAAGTTGTTCATTACTAGTTTTTGTTTTGTTTTGCTTTTTCTACGAGGTCAGTAATGATGGCTTCCAAGTTCCTTAAATGTCTGACCAGAAACTGGAATTCTCTGACTCCAGTTGATGATTGACAGATGACAGCTTTCCAGTCTCATCCCTCCTCATTCCCCTTTGACTCACATCTACACAAAGTGATAAGAGTTCCTTGGTGCTCCTTTCTTTAAAGGTGGCAGGAGATTTGGTTCTCTAAGGTCCTGCTCTCGTGTGTGAACCATAACTCTAACTCATCCACTAACCTCAATTTTACAAACGATCCAGGCATCTCTTTTTGCTTTCTTCCGCCATCTCATGACTACTAGAGAGGCCTGCCTTGCTTTTTCCACAGGCCTCAAGTATGGGAGTAATAAACTCATTGTACATTCTTTGCAATATGTGGTGTCATCAGCTATGGGATTTGAGATGTGCTCAGCGTTCAAGACATCATGCTGCCTTACTCCACGTGGGAGCTTGGGAATTAGAGAACTTGGGAGTGTACCCTCTAGGGTGGCTGGTCAGGAAACACTTTCTTCTGCAATTTAAAAATGGAGATTATATGACCCAGCAAGTGTTGCTCAGTGGTTTAGCGTTAACCCATGAGCCAAGAGGTCACAGTTCAATTCCCGGCTCATGACTGGGTTGCAGACTGGATCCCCAGTAGGGGGTATGCAGGAGGCAGCTGATCTATGTTCCTCTCATGTCTATCTCTCTTTCTGTCTCTCTCTAATCAATAAAAACATATTACATATATATTTTTTTAATGGAGATTACATGTTCTTTTGAAGGAAAGCACTGCTGAATCCTTCAATGTATGTTATGCTCATGGGCAAATTTGCAATCAAACCTTTGTGTATTTCACTGAATGCAGTTGCAGTTGGCAACTCTCAGTCTGTTCCTCAGGGTCAAGAAGGTGCAGGGCAGTGTTCTGTTTCTGCCGTAAAGAGCTCTTCTGGCACATTTGTTATTGTATGTTCCCATGTCTGCCAAAAATTGTCTCCATGCAGCCCTGAGGCACATGAGTATAGGGATTTCTGGTCTGAGTTAGGTCCTTTACCTAGTGTCTGAACTCTGGCTTCCAATTAATTTTATAGCCCATCAAATTGAATGGAGAGAGAAAGGCAGAGGCCAAAGCAGTACTTCTTCACAAAAATATTTCGATTTTACGAGCTGTGCCTGACTACTTCTAAAGGCCCGGGATACTTTAGGGATGATAATGGCCAGCTGTACCTTATTAAAAGTTGGATTCCCACTGGTCTCTTAGACTTCTCATGTTTGGAGATGAGAAAGGGATTCCTTCCCCCCCCCCCCCCCCCCCATTAAAATTGTGTGCAGATTTGACCTTCTGCCTCATGGAGGGCTGTAAGTGATTGTAATAATAAAGGAGATGAAGAGTTTTTCTCACAAGGTATTGATGGTCTTAAAATGATAATTTTGTTTTATTTGTATAGAATTTCTGTCACTGCTCAACATTCTCTGAACTCTGCCATTACAGAAAAATAAGATGTAATGTGATCACAGTAAAAATGTGTAAATCATTTCCATGTGCTCATCATGCTGTTAAATTTATAAGGAAGTATATTCATGTTAACCAAAGTCATCCCAATAAATTTAATAAAAATGTATAAGGAAGTGGGTATGGATAGAGAGTAAGTTTCTGATGATCAAATCATGGCATGAATGTTCGGAGATGATAAAATCATACATAAGCTTCCTATAAATGGAATATAGATGTCATGTGCAGTCTCATGCATCCTACTTTAAACATACTTGGGATGTTTTAGGATCCTGTGGCCATTGAAGATGTGGCTGTGAACTTCACCCTGGAGGAGTGGGCTTTACTGGATACTCCACAGAAGAAACTGTATAGAGATGTGATGAAGGAAACCTTCAGGAACCTGGACTCAATAGGTAAGGATGAGGACATTCATCAGTTGTCACTAGAGAACAAATACTTTTTGATCACCATCTTTTTCCCAAGGTGCAGATTGTGGAAAGGAGGACATTGGTTAATAAACTAGGCATAGACACAGCTAATAATGAACATAGAATCTAACAATTTTTTATAACTTATTAATATTTTGGAATCATTTTTCTGGGTTTACATTTTAGGCCAAAACTGGGAAGATCATTACATTGAAGATCTGTACAAAAGCCAGGGGAGAAAACTAAGGTGAGTCACACTCACAATAGAAGATAGTATCATGTGAGAATCCTGGTGTTATGAATTTTTAAAAGAAGGAAACAATAAACAATTCCTGCTTCAAATTTAGTTATTCTTAATTTTTTTTAACCAGAAACACTTTCTTTATATGTGACATAAATATTCAGTGTTTGCAAAAATAGTTTACTTGGAAACTGTATTAATAAGTCCTATATATTACTGTTTTGGTGAAATCCTCCTGAAGAACATTCACTATATCCAACTTCAGAGAATTCAGACAAGGCAGGAAATTTACACATTTCATATAAATCCTAATAAGTAATTTGAAAAGTACTGTATTAAAAAATCATTAGTAATGTGCTTCTCATTTTTTACAGAAGTCAAATGGTAGAAAGACACTATGAAAGTAAAGAGGGCAATCAACATGGAGAAAATTTCAGCCTTACCCCAAATCTCAGTCTGAACAAGAAAACTACTGGAGTGAAGCCGCCTAAATGCAGTATATGTGGAAAAGTCTTCATGCATTATTTTTCCCTTAATATGCATATCCGAGGTCACAGTGGACATAAACCATATGAATATCTGAAATATAGAGAGAGGCCATATAAATGTAAGGTGTGTGGGAAAGCTTATATTTCTTCAAGTTTATTTCAAATACATCAAAGGAAGCACACTGAAGAGAAAACATATACTTGTAAGGAATGTGGGAAAGCCTTCCGTTTTCTCACCTCCTTTCAAATACATGAAAGGGTTCACACAGGAGAAAAGCAATACGAATGTGAGGAATGCGGAAAACCCTTCATGTGGCTCACAAGCTTTCGAAGACACATGGCCATGCATACTGGATATGGACCTTATAAATGTAAACAATGTGGAATGGTCTTTAGATATCATCAGGCTTTTCAAACACATGAAAGGACTCACACAGGAGATAAAGCCTATGAATGTAAGCAATGCGATAAAGCTTTCAATTCTCAACGAGGTTTCCAAATACATCAAAGCTATCACAAAGGAAAGCACCCCTATGTATGTAAACAATGTGGAAAAGTCTTTAGATATCATCATACTCTTCAAGCACATGAAAAGATTCACACAGGAGAGAAACTCTATAAATGTAAGCAGTGTGGTAAAGTTTTCAATTCTCATCGAGGTTTCCAAGTACATGAAAGATATCACAAAGGAGAGAAACCCTATGAATGTAAGAAATGTGGTAAAGCTTTCAGTTCTCACCAAGGTTTTGAAATGCATGTAAGAAATCACAAGGGAGAGAAGCCCTATGCATGTAAGGAATGTGGTAAAAGTTTTAGTTGTTATCGAGGTTTCCAATTACATGAAAGAAATCACAATGGAGAGAAACCCTATAAATGTGAATGTGGTAAAGCTTTTGTTTACTACTATGCCTTACAATTACACAAATCAACTCATACTGCAGAGAAATCCTATGAATGCAAGGAATGTGGGAAAGTCCTCAGTAACCACAAATGCTTAAAGAGACACGAGAAATTGCACACAGGAGAGAAATCCTATAAATGTAAGCAATGTGGGAAAGCTTTCATGCATCTGTCAGGATTTCGGACACACATGAAAATGCATGCTGGAAATAGACCTTATCAGTGTAAGGAATGTGGGAAGGCTTTCATTTACCCATCAGGTGTTAGAGCACACATGATGCAAGTACATGTTGGAAATAGGCCTTATCAATGTAAGGAATGTGGGTTAGCATTTTATTTTCCCAGTACATTACGCAGGCATGAAATGACTCACACTGGAGAGAAACCCTGTGAGTGTAAACAATGTGGTAAAACCTTCAGAGATCACAGTTATTTAAAAATACACGAAAGAAGTCATACTGGAGAGAAACCCTATAAATGTAAGCATTGTGGTAAAGCTTTTATTTCTCAGCTAGGTTTCCAAGTACATGAAAGAAGTCACACTGGAGAGAAACCGTATGAATGTGAGGAATGTGGGAAATCCTTCGGTTATCCCAGTTCCTTCCGAAGGCATAAAAAGACTCACAGTAAAAGTCCTGCTGAATGTAAATAGCATAGGAAAGACTTCAGTCGATCCACATCCTTACATGTGGGGTGGGGGTAGCTATAAATATATGAGTAACATGAGAAAGCTCGATGGAAATTAATCCATGTGTAATGTTCTAGAAAACTTTTAACATGAAAGTTATAAACTAGAGGCCTGGTGCACAGAGTCATGCACTGGTGGAGTCCCTTGGTCTAGCCTGTGGGGATCGGGCCAAAATTAGCTCTCTGAAATCCCTTGAGGAGTCCCAGATTGTGAGAGGGCAGTTCTTGGGTGACACACCCCAGAATCAGGCTCCCTTCTCTCTGGATCCAGGTGCGTCGCCCGAAAAACCTCAGCTGCCAAGTCACCACAGCTTGGCAGCTCCTGTGTTGAGCATCTGCCCCCTGGTGGTCAGTGTGCGTCTTAGCTGCTGGTCGAAAGGTCAGCCAGTCACTTAGGTTTTTGTATATATAGATGTAAGTATATTGTGTTTATCAAGCCTCCTTAAAGTGCATTGTTGGACTATGGATTTCTACTAATTATTTTCCAAGCTGAATATTCAGATAACTCTGTAGCATATCATTCAGCAATAATATATAAGATTATAGGTAGTGCTTTCTCCCCTCCCTTTAAATCAGTTAATATTTCCATTTTGAAACTTGATGGATTCATAGATGAAGTGTATTTTTAATATGGAGTTGGGTTTAATTTTTTCATAATGTATTTGTTGTGTATTAAGGGAATATTGAAAAATTGAAAGTTTGGTTTTGGGGATTTTCCTATTGATTTTGTGACAGTTCCTGGATGTCCTTAGTCTATTATATATATTCTACCTTTCTTAATGAGAAAGCTCCTTTTGAGGTATAGGAGTCTTTTTTCATGTTCCACATCAATAAACCATTGGAATACATTTTATGTTAAGTATATGATAGTTTCATGTGAATTATTGTTTTCATGTGGATTTCTCCTTGGCAACACCAGGGTGTTGTGAGCTAAAAGGATGTCAGAATCAGTGGCAGAACATATATGATGAACCAATTCCCCTTAGTCACAGCTGTCACATTTTATCAGACCTGCTTTCTTAATTATTTCTACAATACTTAAAACTTGATTTACTTTAAATGAAAAAACAAATGACTCTAGAACAGGGGTGGGCAAACTTTTTGACTCGAGGGCCACAATGGGTTCTTAAACTGGACCGGAGGGCCAGAACAAAAGCATGGATGGAGTGTTTGTGTGAACTAATATAAATTCAAAGTAAACATCATTACATAAAAGGGTACGGTCTTTTTTTTTTTTTAGTTTTATTCATTTCAAACGGGCCGGATGGCCTGCGGGCCGTAGTTTGCCCACGGCTGCTCTAGAATTTGTTGAAATAAGTCACTCCATTAGTGTCTTTCTCCCCACACCCCTTTACTATAGAGGCATCCAAGAGTCTCCAAACCCATGGTGGACATAAATTCCCCAGGGCATTCTCATTCAAGAGACTTTGCTGTATACAGTAGAGCAGCCATTGCTGGCAATGACAAAATCCTTTTGTAATGGAGGCCCTCCCAGGCCTTGAGTTAATCTTGTTCTGCAGTCTGCTTCTCCTTTTGCCTTAGGTCGTGAATGGGGGACCCTCGGGCTTTCTAGCTATAGTTCTCATTGAAGAGATACTAGTACTTACAGCACAGAGCTGAAAATGGTGCCCCTGGTATATGCCACCTATAAGAGGAAGTGTGTTTCCTTAACATTAATTCAGTCTGTTTTGAAGAAGGTAACTTTTCTAGACATACTGGCCACTTTGGGAATCTCTTAGGAGCACATGAGATTCATATGCTTTATCGACAGCATGCCTGCACCACACCTGGTGGAGTCCCCTGCAGAGATGCTGCATTTTGTCGTCAGATTGAACAGGCCTGATTAAAGACGGGACACCAGCAGCAGATCTGTTAAATGCCAGACAGTTATGTTAGCATTAGAGAACATCATGGCCAGAATCGAACTCATTTACACATTTTTTGGCACTAGCCAATATCTAGCTGTCTCATCTTACCAATAGCAGTAACTCCTTATCCAATGTCACCCTTTGGCATAACAAACTCGGAATATCTTGCTTCACAGTAACCAAGTACAAGTCAAGTAATGGGTGGAAGCCTCAACACTCTAAGCAAAGATCACAATAGAGCTAGACTCGGTATTCCATATAATGAGGTCATGTTTAAATGCGCTTGTAAACCAGGATTACAGTTCCATAAGTGGCTTTGCAGCCCATGCCAACCCCTCATCCAGAAAGGACCTCAGACCCTCTCGTCCCAATCTGGCCTGGGCGCCCCTCTTGTTCAGGACAAGGGAGTCCCTCTTTCTGGAAACTGAGTCTGGAATTTCCAGCGCACACATGGTCCCACTTCAGGAAGAGCTACCAATACAGGAAGACACCACTCCCCCTCTAAGGCCACGGACCAGTTTGGGTAAAAAGGGTCTTGGGGGATGGGGAGGACAATCTCGACTCATTGGGGGGGGGGGGGTATGCCTGGGAGGGACTGTGGCCTGTGGTGTTCCCAGTCCCTCCTTTCTCCCTAGGGGACACATTTTCTCCTGAGTTTTTCCAGTGTGTGGGAAGCTAAGTCTTTAAGTCTACGACCCATTAATACTAAGATGGCCAAGCTGAGGATCCTTCATGCTTATAAATTTACTTTTGCATGCACAATTAGAAAAAGCTGCTATAAAACTAGGCAGAATGAATGGAAAACATTAAATTGGCCTCTGCTTCCATTTAGATAAATGGACCAACCTATGATGCTGTTTAAGTGCCAACTCATTTGTGTGTGTGTGTGAATCCTCAAGGATAGCAACCTAGGTACCTGCCCTTGATCGGAATCAAACCCAGGACCCTTCAGTCCATGGGTTGATGCTCTATCCACTGAGCCAAACCAACTAGGGCTCAACCCAATTTTTAAGGTATTAAAAATGACTGTCCTTATTTTAAAGGGGGGAAAGTCATGTCCTGACCGGTGTGGCTCGGTTGGAGCATTGTCCCGTACACCTAAAGGTCACCGGTTTGATTCCCAGTCAGGGAAAGCTGGGGGTGCAGGTGCATCTGGGCGAAGGGGCGAAGTAATGCCAGTGGTCTTAATCCATCACCTAGAAAGGTTCAGGAACCTGGAGAAGGTGCTGTGGGTAAATTAAATAAGAGTCCAGAGACAAAACATAATTTTGAAAGGCATTATAGGGAGTCAGAGAAGACTTAGCTAAAGGGATTAAGTTCTCCTTGTCTCAGGACCCCTTGCTATTTATTAACACAATTTGTCCTAATGCAAGGTAGATATACATCGAAGGCCAGGGTTTGTATACAGAAGCATTGTCAGATTGGGGAATTGCCTTCGGCTGTTCAGGTGTTTGGCCAGTAGGAGGCAATAACATGTAGATTGAAATGCCCTTAGCTGTCTGACAGCAATCATTTTATGCATCCTTTTCAGGTTTGGGGAAATGCCCTCAGCCACCTCCAGATTCAGCCCTGCTGACATCCTTGAATTGACTTCCAGCAGCGAAGCCCCTTCTGAGGTTTTAGTTATGCTTCCCCTGCGCCTAATTCTAGGCATATAGGTTGGAGTTTTGCATCCACAATGTGGGTGCACTCAGAGTGTCATTTGTGTACGTTGAGAAAGTGTTAAAGTCAGGAGTGTGTCCTGGGTTAGGGATTGTGAATTTGGAAGTTCATTTAGGTCAGAACCTTCAACTAAATCCAGCTGAGCACTTCCTTGCTGTGAGCTGAAGCCTGAGAGAGGGAGCGTTTCCATTATTCCCTGGGGAGAGGAGGGTGTAAGCTCCCAGACTTTATTCCTTGGGCTGCTCAGGTGTCCCTCCTCACCTTCCCCAGGGACAGGTCCACTGCAGAGGTTCTTTCTGTCTCAACCTGGAGTCTAGGATGTGAACCTTCTGAAAGTGGCTCTCCTGTCCTGTGGGAGGCAGGCTGCTCATCTGAGCTGATTCCAATACTGTGTTTCTTTCCTTTGGATCCTTTATCCACTGAATAGTGCAGGCCTTTGGCTCTAGTTTCCCTGAGAACTTGGACTCTGAAACTGTAAGATGACAAAGAGGTGAGAAAAGCAAGAAAACTGTGGAACCAAGTAGAATTTTGATCCCTTTATAAGAGAACCTGAAGAAATGAGTTGAGTTGCCCCATGTCCTTTTAGTCAGCAAGAGATTTGAAATTTTTCTTTGTATGGTTTGTACTTTTGTAACTATTAGTGTTTAAAGAATTTAAATCTTAGAATGGTTAGTAAATAGTACTGGGCACAACAGTATGTATAAATTTTTGTGTTTATTTTTTAATATATTTTTTTTTATTGATTTCAGAGAGGAAGGGTGAGGGAGAGCAAGCTAGAAACATCAATGATGAATATCATTGATTGCTGCCTCCTGCACGCCCCACACTGGTGATTGAGCCTGCAACCTGGGCATGTATGTGCCCTGAACCGGGAATCGAACCGTGATCTCCTGGTTCATAAGTCGATGCTCAACCACTGAGCCATGCCAGCTGGGCTCTGTGTTTACTTTAAATAAATCTGTAAGATAGAAAAGTCTAAGGTAAGACGACTCCCTGCAAATAATTTCTGGCCCCTCCAGCACTCTTACTCCAGCCACCCCCAAAAACAGTTTTGATCCTTTCTTGAGCCTCCTGTTCGTGTTTCTCTATATAAAACAAGCCATTGCAAGTACATATTTTCTTATGTATGTTTTTCCTTGTAATAAGCTATTAGACTCCACATTTTTTGTTGTTTGCTGACAGCTTAAGCCGCCCCCTCCCTCTTCTCTTGTGTCCACATAAGGGAATAATGGAAACGCTCCCTCTCTCAGGCCAATGAGAAAACCTGGGGCTTCCTCCTCTGGCACTGGCTTCAGATTCCAACCACACAAGCCCCGGCCTATGTGCAGAATCTTGCTCAGGCCCCACCGAACCCACAGCTGACACCCACACCAAGCTCCTTTCCTTGCTTCCTGAAGCCATTTCAGAGCTGCCGGAGAGGCACCCTGCCCTCTCCGAAGACCTCTATTATGTCCGTTGTAAGCCTTTTCCTGCCTACCTTCTGGGCCACACTAGAATCGGTCTCAACATGAGGACCACACCTCTGCAGGTAAAGGTACCATTGGGTATGTAGGCAACATGTCCCCACATGCCCACCATTGTTCATTTGTCTCTTGCTCTAACTTGCTCACCTGCTCTGCTGCCTGCTGCCTGCACTGTGGCTGCTGGGTTCTGGGGAGCTGTGCTGCCCCGTGTGGCATTGCTGAGCCTACCAAGCCTCAGTTCTATGTGCAGAGTGGGCAGTTTTGAGAAATTCTAGATATTTGGGAGCAGGAGTGTGGGGTTGAGACCCTCCTTAAAGTGGTCCTGGGTTGTTGCCTTTGCTGGAATGTATCTGTGTGTTAGAGAGAAGCTGTGACGGAGGCTGGGTTGGCCCCAACTTGCCCTGGAGTCAAGGGTCAAGGGAAAGACTACACCCTGTACGAGAGGTGGGTCCATCTCATGGTCACTCCTGAAACATCAGTTATTTATAAAGAGGAAGAGAGGGAAAAAGGTAGTCAGTAGGTGGCCAACTGAGCCCACCCCCGCCCCACCCCCACCACCACCCTTCAGTACCTCTACTGCAACACAGAACCTGCCCTTGGGGTTAAGGGGACAACACCCATGGCACCCTGTGGCACAGCCAAGCGATTAGTTCAAACCTGATTTCAGCTTAAGTCCTTGAACTCTATAAAGTAACCAATTATGGTGGAAAGGCTTCTAAACCTGACAGTGCTGGTTAGAGGCTCTCTGGAAGGAAAAAAATGATCAATGCTAGCATGCCTCGTTTATTTGGACTGCTTTATTGGGCTTTGCTTTATTGCACTTTGCAAATGTTGCATTTTTTACAAACTGAAGACAAGACCTTCCACCAGC